ACACGGCTGATTATTGCCTGTATATCATACTTTTGTGAGGAAAGAAACTTTCTGTTGGTGAAACCTATCTTCTCATTTTCTTCTTAGAGTCACTCATCCTAAAGAGAATTGGTAAAGTTGTATAAAATATTGAAGAAAAGGTAGCATAATGTAAAATCAATGGTGGAGTCTAATGACTCTTGAATTAGAAAATTTATATTCATCATGATATATTTAAGTCCATCCAAAAAATTCATTCCAGGAGTCCCATTTTAGCTTTCCTATTCCTGCACTTAAGCAAGATAAAGGCATTAACGTTATTCCCTTGAGTTGCAGGGACCCAGAGCATTTGAGGAAGTGGCATCGTCCATTTCATGCATCGGCTAGTGTTGGAATTGGCTGCAGTACTAGAATGTGACCCAGACAGGCTCAGGTAAAGCCCTAAGAATGTCATTGAAACTGGGCAGCATTTCACAGGCCTTTGAATCAAGTTCTTTCTGGTTCATCGTGGCCGAGAAAGCAAAACCGGAACAGACCTAGATTTTTAAAATTTGGGTGGAACTGGAATGGGAAAAATTAAGGGTTGAAGCCGTGCTGGAAACCTAATCTCCCTCTTAGAAAACAAGGGCAGCACATGAGCTGCATAGTAACCAAATCTCTTGCTTGTCGGACTTTGAGGAGAGTCGAAAATAGCAGTGCCCTTTGGTGAGTAGCGTCTGGGGTCTTAAAAGCCTGTGAGCAGCCGTCTAAGATACTCCACTGGTCTCACCCCTTCGGGAGCAAGAGAGAATGAAGAAAACAAGATACAAGGAAAAGATTAGTCCAAAGGACTAATGGACCACAACTACCATGGCCTCCACCAGACTGAGTCCAGTACAACTAGATGGTGCCTGGCTACCAGCACTGTCTGCTCTGACTAGGATCACAACAGAGCATCCTGGACAGAGCTGGAGAAAAATGTAGAACGAAATTCTAACTCACAAAAAAAGACCAGACTTACTGGTCTGACAGAGACTGGAGAAACCCTGAGGGTATGGCCCCCAGACACACTTTTAGCTCAGTAATGAAGACACTCCGGGATTCACCCTTCAACCAAAGATTAGACAACCCCATAAAACAAAACGAGACTAATGGGGCACAACAGTCCAGGGACAAGGACTAGAAGGCAGGAGGGGACAGGAGAGCTGGTAATAGGGAACCGAAGGTTGAGAAGGGACAGCGTTGACATGTCATGGGGTTGTTAAACAGTGTCATAAAACAATATGTGTATTAACTGTTCAATGAGAAACCATTTGTTCTGTAAACCTTCATATAAAGTACAATTTAAAAAAAGAAAATAGCGATGCCCTGCCCAAAGATGGTGGCCGGCCACACAGCTTTGAATGTGTGTCGGCTCTCCACAGTCCTGCCAATAATCCAGTCTCATGCCGGCTCCTTAAAGGGTAAACCACACCTCTTCCAAGCCTCCCATTCCAGGGCTTCGACTCATAATTTTTCCCATTCCAGTTATCATTCTGGATCACCCAAATTGTAAAAATTCAGGTCTGTTCTGGTTTCGCTTTGTTGGCCATTACTGAACCGGTTCAAACTGGTTTGAAGCCCTGACATTTCAGGAAGGTGGAAACTGATTGATCAAATCTGGATTTGGTGAAGAGGTTCAGGTTAGTTCATGAAGGGCTATAGGTATTTCTGGGATCAGCTGACTTTTTTTTTTTTTTAACTCTTTAAAACATACTGAATGATGACTTGTTTTTGATGGCTTACATCCCAGGAAGTAATGTCACCTTCTGAGCTGCTGCTGTCAATTCACAGGACCCCTGACAATTGTCTGTGTCAGCTGGGATGTTAGTATTTTAGATCTTTGCATCTGGAGAGTCACTATCACAGAGGAGCACTTGAAGAAGAGGGAGAAAAAGGAAATAGATATTCTTGGTTTGTAAACTGAATCACTGTTGGCAGACTATGACTCCACCATAGCAGCGAGAGATGTGATTGACAACAAGAAGTCTGTCAGTTCATCTATGGGGACTTTTTTTGACCACTTAATAAGTGCCTAACACTGTGGTGAACACTTGGAGGGATACCAGAGAAGCATAAACAGTGGTGTTTGTGTTTAAGGAGCCTATAGTATATTTGGAGCATCATTTTTTTTTTTACATGAAACAGAAAACTTAGACTATTTATAGTAGTTATGTGCTGAGCTGTGAGACACTGGTAATAGGTGCAGTGCCATTCAGTTTAGAAAAGGGAGAAATTGATATGAACTCTTGTGGTGAGAGTGTAATAATTTAGGAGAAACAACCTGAGTGAGATCTTAAAGGAAGAAGAACAGATAGGTAGGCAGTTCTGATGGGAGAAATAGCTTAAGCAACTGCACAGAGGCAAAAATTAGAACGGCATATGTGTGTGTAAGGTCCTAAGGAAATCCACTCAATCCTGCTTCATTTTTCTTCATATCACGTGGTGCCACTTCACGTTTGTTTGTAGTCTGTCTTGCACTCGGGCACAGTAGTCAGTTGCATAAGGAATACATTGGGCAGGATTTCAGATATAGATTGCCTTCTAGTTGCCTTAGAGAAAGGAAAAGGAAATTCATTCACTAAAAAATATTTTTCAAGAACTTAACTATGTGCTTAACTCAGTTCTAAGTGCTGGAAATACAGAGATGAACAAGAGTCCTGCCCTCGTATAACATACATTCTCTTGGGGGAAGGCAGATGATAAACGAGTAAATCAGGAAATAAATATATAGGCAGTGATAAATGCTATAAAGAAAAATAAATAAGGAGAAGGGGAAAGAAAGTGCCTGTCTTAGCTAAGGTTAAGGATAAGATAAAAATTTTAGATTAGCCCTTTACTTCATAGATAAACCTGGATTACCAGTTGCCTGGGAAAAAATAATCAAATCCCACTTCTCACACCAACTGAGTGGAAGAATCGAATTCCACTTTTCACTTCTCTGCTACTTCTGTTCTGACACCAGCTGTACATGTAGCACTTCTTCCACTGACCCTGACCACCCAAAGCTAGGACAGACTTCACAAGCTAAAGGACGCAGTCTTCAGACTGCCAGCTCTACCAAGACCTCAGATGCCAGCCACAGGCTTGAGAGTCCACACGACACCCTCACTTCTGACCTGCTGGCTACAAGTACGGGGTTTTCCCATTACTCCTTCAGGATACCATCCATAAGCTCAGGGGTCCCCAGGACCCCCCACTTCTGACCTGCAGGCTCCCAGTACTCCCTCGGGTTCAGTTATTCACTAGTATGACTCAAAGAACTCATGAAAGTGCTATACTTAATGATTACAAGGATACAAATGAAGAGACACCTAGGGCAAGGTCTAGGAGGGTTCCCAGTTCAGAGCTTCCATCCCCAAAAGGGACATCCTACCCTCCTGTGTGCATAGATGTCTATCACCAAGCAGGAAGCACATGGAGCTTCTGTGTCCAGAACCTTTATTGGGGCATCATCACGTAATCGTGATTGGTTGAATTAGCCCATCTCCCCTGAGGTCAACTGATACCGCCAGGTGCACTTTCTGGTCTGGCCAGCCCCTACCTGAGTCAGCTCATCACCATACCTCAGGCGTGGTCTGGAGCCCTCACCAAAAGACACTTAGATCACGGGAAATTCCAACATTTTTTCCCAGGAAATAAGGACAAAGACCAAATTCTGTGGGTCAAATTAATGTAAATCTCACACCACTAAAGTTTTTGCTAATGGAGTTTCACCTTTATTTTCCATGCTTATCTTACCCATGGATCCTCTCAGCCATATACTCAGTGGTCATTTAGCAAGTATTTCACAATGGTAGTAAGAACGGTCTTGCTACACTTGAATTGCACCACATTTTTCCTTCTTGCTTTTTACATTATATATACACACACACTCGTATATATGTGTATTTGTATGCGTATATATAATTTATTTGAATTTTGTTGAGAATATACATAGCAGAAGATACATCAATTCAGTTTCTACATGTACACTTCCATGACATTGGTTACATTCTTCGAGTTGTGCAACCATTCTCACCCTCCTTTTCTGAGTTGTTCCTCCCCCAGTAACATAGACTCCTGTCTCCTAAGTTTCGTATCTAATCTTTCGAGTCTTGCTTTTTATTTTTTTAATTTTTTTTAATTGAAAAGATATTGTTAAGACATGTACTGAAGAAGTGTGAATCACATAGGAGAGACGTGTAGTTGCTAATGAAGTGACAGTTACCTGTACATTGACTCTGTGGAGAAGGTTGAGTGCAGATGCATCAAACTGTTATCACATGAAAGAGAAAGTAAATACGAAGCTGTTTCAATTATGTGCTAAGCTATGATATATCTCACAACCCAGAGAAACACTTAGCCAAACGCAAAGAAAGTAGTAATAATACAGCCATGCGTCCCTAACGGCCTACGGAGACATAAAATAGCAGTGTTTATTGAGCAATTGCTATGTGACAGGCATTGTGCAAGACACTTTACTTGCATTATCTCTAATCCTTGCAACAACAAATCCCTGCAGATACCCTGCAAATACCAAGAGGGAGATATTATCCCAGTTTATAAACGAGAAAACAGATGAAGTGATGGGCCCAAGGTCATTACAGTTAGTATTAGAGCTGAGATGACAGCAGATTCCTTGTTTTTGAGAGGACTTGGAATGAAATTCAGCAATGCGGGTTTAATTATAGGCTGTCTTGGAGTGTATATCTAGGCTGGAATTGGTCCAGGGTGGGGCTTTCTGTCAGTCCAGCTCGGCACCCTATCTAAAGAATTCTAGAAGTTGGGAGTTTCTAGGGCTAACTCTGAATTTATATAAGTGGTTCCCTGAACCAATTGGAGGCATAGACTGTAGTGAGGGGTTCATTAGCATTTATTTCAATATTTCCTATGCCTACAAACGCCATTGGAAGCTGGACAATGAGTAAGGAAGACTGAAGAAAAATTGATGCCTTTGAATTATGGTGTTGGCGAAGAATACTGAATATACCATGGACTGCCAGAAGAACAAACAAATCTGTCTTGGGAAAAGTACAGCCAGAATGCTCCTTGGAAGCGAGGATGGTGAGACTTCGTCTCATGTACTTTGGACATGTTACCAGGAGGGACCAGTCCCTGGAGAAGGACATCATGCTTGGTAAAGTAGAGGGTCAGCAAAAAAGAAGAAGACCCTCAACAAGATGGATTGACACAGTGGCTGCAACAGTGGGCTCAAACATAGCAACAATCGTGAGGATGGCACAGGACTGGACAGTGTTTCGTTCTGTTGCACACAGGGTCGCTATAAGTCAGAACCAACTTGATGGCACCTAACAACAACAACAAAAGCCATTTGTGTGTCAAACAGCTGTACAGGCCGTTAAAACTTGCAAGTGCTTTGCCTTTGCCTAGAGAGGTATCAGCTCTTTTTGGAGCCACCTGCTAGCTGATCTAAAACTGATTGAAACTCTGATTTGTGATGGTGTATATCTGACTAAAATATATGGGGGAAATTCAGCTCTTGGTCAATCTACATATATACCTCACCCCAGATTATTCTGAAGCAAAATCAGACATCATATCATTATGTATAAATATTTCAGAATGTATTTCTAAAAGATGAGGACTCTTACTATATTCCTTAAACTTCCAAACAACGCTATTGTTGTTGTTGTTAGGTGCCATTGAGTTGATTTCAACTCATAGTGACCCCATGACATAGTAGAACTGCCCCCATAGGGTTTTTTAGACTATAATCTTTACGGAAGCAGGTCACCAGGTCTTTCTCCCATGGAACCTCTGATTGGGTTCTACCCGCCAACCTTTCGATTTGCAGCTGAGCACTTAACCATTGCACCACTAGGGCTCCTTAACAATCCTATTAGTCAAGCATTATTTTTATCCCTATTTTACAGATGAAGACAATGAGACACAAGGAGGTTAAATTACTTGCCCATGGTCAACCAGCTTGTAGGTGGCAGCGTCGGGGTTCAAACCCAAGTGCCTAACTCCAAAGCCCATCCTGTTAACTACCATACTATATGGTTGTCCCTAGACCCCTTTGCTATAGCTAATCCCGCACTGCAGAATTGGACTCTGAGAGAAGAATAGAAAACTCCCGGGGACATGACTATGGATTTCAACCACCCTGTCCATTGCCGCAAATTGGCTCTATTTCGGTACACAAGAATGGAGTGGTTGTGAAAGGCCTGGAATTGTTATCTCCAGGAATAAAAGGACCAACCTGAAATATTAATCGATTCTATTTGGGCAACAAAACTGATAAAGCAGTCACATTATTGTGATTGTGTTTGTAATGTTGGAGAAATCAGCAGTGAAAAGGACGGAAAGTATGGCTGTCGTTAAGATGTGGCTGCCAAGGGAATGAAAAGATTTCTTTTAAAGTGAATTTTCCTTTGGTTTTCTCTTTTGGCAGAAGGCATCTGCGTCTTCCCACTGAGTCTTTTGAGTTTGTTTCTAGCACAGCTAATTGTGTTTATTTGTCTCGAGAATCACATGGCTGCCTCCTCTCCCTTGCCTTTTCTTAAGGTCTCTTGCCTGCTGTGTACTGCTTTTACTGACAGAACGTTCTCCTCACCTGGGAGCCAGTTGGCTGACAACACAGAGTAAGTGTTGGGAGGTCAACTCTGCCTCTCCAGAGAGCTGACCTGGCCTCTGGCATCCAGGACCACCTCACAGGAGAGGGAGAGAGATTATATAAGCTGGCTACGAAAGGAGCCATGTCTTTTGCCTTGCAGGCATCCTGCTTGGTCCATCCCAGTGTTAAGAACAGAGCAGAAAGCAAGTAAATACTGTTGATTAATTCATCAAGAGAGTTTTGCTAGTTCAAGAAATCGATTCTCCATTTTTCCTATCCAAAAAAAAAAAGCATCCCATTGGTTTTTCTGCTTAGTAATTTCCTTTATTGTTGGGTTTACTGGCATTAGCTTGATTCTCATACTTCAGTTTCTTTTCCCTTTGCCTTTACCGGCCCAGTGCCATCACCGAAGCCATATACGGCTGGAGAACTACCCAGCTCCTTAACCTGCACACCTGTGGAGCACTAAAAAGTGGTATTTGTTGAAGAATTACCTAGAAATTACACCTTTGCCCCTCTCTGCGACATGCCAGCGAGTACTTCAGTATCCTTTTTAGGGAGCGTGTGTTTTCTTTGAACATTTGTTGTTACAAATATTTTGAAATAGTTTTTCATTATTGATACAACCCCTGCTTTTTTAAAAGTCCAGTGGGAAAAGCAGTGGACTGCAAGTCACTTAACTATAGGAGCATCAGCTCGGGGATGGCAAATATCTGGCTCTGTGCCACGGCACCCTCATGATGTGTCTCTCAGGAGCCTGTGTCAGACATTCTAAATTGATCACAGCACCTTTCCCCCCTTCTCTGGGAACACCACGGAAACCTGGAGTGCCTCTCAATGCATTACTCCAGGAAGTCATTATCAAGCGGTAGAGATCAGCATGAAGATTTAAATCTATTTGCCCCCTCCAAAATAAGTGGTCTCTAAAGCCCTTCCCACACTAAAATTCTGTGAACCACCTTGCCAGCAGCCACATTAGACTGATAACAGCTAGGGAGGGTAAGTGTTACCATCCAAAGATGCTAAACTCTGGAAAGCAGATAACAAGGGGAAAATACTTTAAAGGCTGATGGTTAGGGGAGGATTTGGAGATTGTGACTCAGTGGGTTCGTAAATTGGTTGGTATGGGCTTTACGTTAACTTTACTCAAAGAATTTGGTCTTTGTTCTTGATTCCTAAGAGATAAATTCTGAAACCTTGGAATTTTCCCACTGATCATAAATGTCTTCAATGAGGGCTCCAGACCATACGTAACCTAACAAGTTATGCTAATGAGTTGGTGGCTCTTGGGTGGGACTGGCCAGTCCAGAAAGACCCACCAAGTCATATCAATCTCGCCATCACCTGTGGCCACCTCGTGATAGCAGCTGGCCTCCGGAGAGGGGCTGGAGTTTGTGTTACGTAATGGGACCCCCAATAAAAGCTCTGGGTGTGGAAGCTCCATGGGCTTCCTGGCTGGTGAAAGACAGTGATACACGTCAGAGGGTAGTGCGTTCCTTTTTTGCGGGGGGGACATGAAAGCTTCACGTTGGGAACTTTTCTAGACCTCATCCTATGAATCTCTTCTTTGTGCTGATCTTGATTGTATCCTTTATAAAGCTGTAAGTATAGCACTTTCTATGAGTTCTATGAGTCATTCTAGCAAATTGTTGAACCTGAGGGCATACTGGGAGCCAGCAGGTCAGAAGTGAGGGGTGCTGGGCACCCCTTAGCTTATGGCTGGCATCCTAAAGGGGTAGTGGGAAAATCCCAATTTATAGCCAGCAGGTCAGAAGTGAGGGTGTTGTGGGGACTCCCAAGCTTGCAGTGGTGTCTGCAGTGTTGGGCCAGCTTGGCAGCTGTGTCCTATAACTTGTGTGGTCTGACCTAGCTCCAGGTGGTTAGGGCCAGAGGAAAAAGTGCTGTGTATGCAGCTGGTGTCAGAACAGAAGTGGAACAGAACTGAAAAGTGGAATTTCATTTTTCCTGTCAGTTGGTAGGATGAGAGAAAGTTAATCTTTTTATAGAGAAGGGAATGCTTAATGCTAAAGAGGAATACAAAGGAAATCATATGGAGTCTGTCCTTCAGGGGTTCCTGATCTGGTGTAGCAGCTGCATTAAGCTGAACTTAGATTTAATGTAGTGTAATGAGGAGCCTTGGTGGTGCAGTGGTTAAAGCTCTCAACTGCTAACCAAAAGTTGGTGATTTGAACCCACCAACCGCTCCGTGGGAGAAAGATGTGGCAGTCAGTTTCTGTAAAGATTTACAGCCTTGGAAACCGTATGGGGCAGTTCTACTCTGTCCTGCAGGGTTGCTATGAGTCAGAATCGACTCAACGACAGTGGCTTTGGTTTGGTGGGTTAGTGTAATGACTTGCGAAAACAAGAAACTTGATGCCTGGTTATAACTATCTCATTCTCTCAGCTAACAATTCTGTTTACTTTCAAAGAAGTTTGGAGGGTATTACGATAATGCTATGAAGCAACAGGACTTCCTTAACAGAGATACTTATATCTTCAACACTATATTATAGATGAAGTCTCTGGGTGGGGCAAACGATTAACGCACTCAGCTGGTAACCGAAGGGTTGGAGGTTTGAGTCCACCCAGAGGTTCCTCAGGAGAAAGGCTTGGTGATCTACTGCCAAACATCAGCCATCGAAAACCCTGTGGAGTACAGTTCTACTGTGACACACATGGGGTCACCATGAGTCAGAGTCGACTCTGTGGCTTTTTTTTTTTTAATATAGATAATGTATTGGGTGGTAGGAACTGCTTAGGCCAGTCAGTAGTCACGCTCATTACTAGCTAATAAGCTGCTTGGGTCGTTCCAGGCCTGGCTGTCTTTAGGAAGATTGTCAGAGGATGAGAGGCTGCAGTCTGGGTTAAGATCAGGGAGTGTGTGTGTATGTGTGTGTGTGTGTGCGCGCGCGCATACACGCATGGGTTTCTTCGGTGGTGGTTTTCATCAAGAGTACTTTCTTCTGCAAGAAGAAGTCAAAGCAAGGCTCATTTTGGAATGCTCTGATTTAACACCAAGGTCAGGTAGAGGTGCTTTTCCACTTCAGAAGTCTCAGCTTGATACGGGTTGTGAAGTGGGGAAAAGAGCAGGAAGAGAGAGGGAAAAAATCCCATAGAGGTCAGACAAAGCATTAGATTGGCCAAGTATTTCAAAAGTATTTTTTTCTTAAAGTTTATTTATTTGTTGTTGTTGAGAATATACACAGCAAAACATACACCAGTTCAACAGTTTCTACGCATACAATTCAGCAGCATTGATTACATTCTTCAAGTTCTGCGAACATTCTCACCCTCCTTTTTTGAGTTGTTCCTCCCCCTATTAACATAAACTCACTGGCCCCTAAGGTTCCTGTGTAATCTTTCCAGTTGCTATTATCACTTTGATTCCATATAAAACCAGAAAAACCAAACTCCTTGCTGTCAGGTCGATTCTGACTCATAGTGACCCTGTAGGACAGAGTAGAACTACCCCATAGGGTTTCCAAGGAGCAGCAGCGGCTGGTGGATTCAAACAGCCGAGCTCTTAACCATTGCACCAGCAGGGCTCCTGATCCCATACAGATAGTTCTTAAAAGAGCATAATGCTCAAGGCAGACCTCAGAGGTATTTTTTAAACTCAGATAAGATTTAGAGTTCCCTCCCTGCCCCAACCCCCATTAAGTATGTACTTTTGTCCAGTAATGCTTATCTTAAAATCTTACTAACTTCAGCTGAAATTGCTTCTGACTTATATTATTAGGAGACCGACCTGGTGACGTAGTGGTTAAGAGCCCAGCTGCTAACCAAAAGGTTGGCAGTTCAAATCTACCAGCCGCTCCTTGGAAACCCTATGGAGCTGTTCTACTCCATCCTGTAGGGTTCCTATGAGTTGGAATCGACTCCACGGCAACGGGTTTTACTGTTATTTTTTTTTCTTTCTCCATCTTTTTTGGATGTCATACAAAAAGAGGTCAAAAATTAATTGTTTGCTTTTGTTATTTAGGAATGTCTAAAACAGTTGAATTCTCCGGAGGAATGGGTGGCGAGTGAGGCTGAAATAGTGAGTTAGAGAATGAATGCAACTTTTCAGTAGATACTACAGATCCTTTGTCTCAGGGAGTGCTGAGGCAATGGAATCTAAACTGTGAGTGCTGACCCTGGATTTTCTGGTAACATTAAGTGCTTGTCTCTTCTAGCCCATGTGATCTACGGGACATGCTAGAATAGCAGGAACTTGGCCAGAATAGCTTCTGGCTTGTGCCTCAGGGACTTAAAAATGCACCCTTTTGGCTTCCAAGTGCATATTATTTGAATGTTACCATGATGGTAAACTTATGTAATGTTGGTTATAAGCGTTGGATAAGCTTAAAACTCAAGTGACACTTTCTGGACCTGCCATCGTGTTGTCTTAGGCTTGTAATTGCTTTTGTTTTTTTTTTTTTAACTTTAATTCAGAAATAAAGTTGTTAGCCTTTACTATTCTTCTTGGTTTTCAGATGGTACTACGGGTGCCTAGAATAATTATGGTTGATTTTTAGGTATGTGATATATTAATTTGGTAAGAGTAGGACTTGGGCTCTCTGTCTTCCAACCCACTTTGCCTCCAAGATCAATAGAACCTCAAAGAAGGAAAAGTTGTTGATTTTTTTAATGGTGTTTCTGGTGGATGTGTGTCAAAATTAATAATAGTGTATCTACTATAATATAGACTTGATTAATCAGTCTTCAGTTAAACTTTTACATATTCCTCTCAGAAGAAAAAACATCAAAGCAAAGGAAAATAAAGTCCTATTAGAACTTTTGTTTAAGAGAAACTTACCAGATTGGTCCTAGACTTACCATAGATACAGTCCAATCTTGGCCATTTGTACCTCCATTAGCCAAGCTGTGTAATGATCATTGATATCCAGAGGGAGATAAAGGACCCAGACAATTTTGAATTATCATAATTATATTCACTTGCACATTTAGGAAAGCAAACTAATATGTTTTAGAATGATTTTCAAGAAATCATGTTGAAACAAAGCATTTCCTGAATAGCATAGTTCAGGTCAGGGCGTGAACTCTGGAGCCAAACTACCTGAGTCTGAATTCTGGCTCCACGGCTTCCCTGGCTGGGTGACGTTGGGCGAGAGACGTAACCTGTTTCCTCATCTGTACAATAGCTAAAAAGCAATGGAACCCATTTCACCGAGTGTTGGGGAATAAATGACTTAGTACATGTAAAGAACTTAGAACAGTGCCTTAAAAAAACAGTTGCTGTCAGTTGATTCTGACTCATGGCAACCCCATGTGCATCAGAGTGAAACTGTGTATCATAGGGTTTTCAATGGTTGATTTTCCCATTTCCAAAGAGATCACCAGGCCTTTTCTGAGGAACCTCTGCGTGGGCTCGAACCTCCAGCCTTTCAGTTAGCATCTGAGTGTGTTAACCTTTGACACCACCCAGGGTCTCCAGAACAGTGCCTAGCATATAGTAAATGCTTAATATATGTGAGTTATGATAATTATTATTGCCAATTGGATAAAGAGGAATAGGGAGTGAAGAAGGGGGAAAATTTTAAGGTGAGTTCCTGGTTTAGTAGGAGAAGATGGATTATATTTTGCTTGCCTTCATTTTGAGATATCTTTGTTACAGTTAAGCAGAGATATTAAGTGGGCAGTTGGATATACTTTATTCCAGACAGTAGCTAAGTTTTCTGTGTACTGCAGATTCTCCCCTTGGTTTTCCTATAGATTTCTGGTGAGCTTTCCAAAAAACTAAATTCCGTGTGCTTCAGAATTTCCATCTAAATAATAATGAGCATAATAATGGCACATAGTAGAAACTCAGCAAATATTTGTTGAGGGGAAAATTACTTTCTAAAGTCTCCAAGTTGCTTGGATAAAGGTAATGTGTTTAAAAAAATGTATATGCGTGTATATATATATGTGGATCCCTGGTGGTGCAGTGGTTAAGAGCTCGGCTGCTAACCAAAAGGTCAACAGTTCAAATCCACCAGTTGCTCCTTGGAAACCCAATGGTTTGAGTCTACTCTGTCTTATAGGGTTGCTATGAGTCAGAATCGACTCGATGGCAATGGGTTTGGATTTTTTTGTTTTTATATGTGTGTGTGTGTATAATTAAGGCCAGATTGAGATTTTGACATAGAAACAAGGAAAGTACAGACCAGTGTATTTTCTGTAATTTTTTCTCCTGTTCATTCATCCATTCATTCATACAGTGA